CCTATGAGTCAGAACTGACTCAACGGAACTTAACAACAACAACAACAACTTTTATGTTTCATTCTTGTTAAACTCTATTATCCCCTTTAATATTTAATGTGTTTTGGGTTACTATTTACACAGCAAATTAAGTTCTCACTTAATAATTTCTATACATATTATTCCCACAACTTCTCTGTCAGTTTGTCTTACTGTGGTGGCTTGTGCAAAGCTGTGATGTTGGAAGCTATGCCGTTGATATTTTAAATACCAGCAGGGACACCAGAGTGGACAGGTTTCAGCAGAGTTTTCAGACCAAAAGTAACTTGGAAGAAGGAGAAGCAGATTGTATCTGAATAATCAGCCACTGAAAACCTGATGAAGAGCAGGAGAACATTGTCAGATCTAGTGCTGGAAGACGAGCCCCTTACACTGGAAGGCACTCAAAATACAACTGAGGAACAGCCACCTCCTCATCGTCGAGTAGACCATAATCACGTGAATGGAGTATAGTTTTCAGAATTTTAAACTCAAAATGAGGAGAAGGAGCTGAAAATACCCCTTAATAATCAGAACCTGAAATGTATAAAATATTGCTGTTGTTGTTGTTGTTAAGTACCGTGGAGTCGGTTCTGACTCATAGTGACCCTGCACAGAGTTTCTGAAGCTGTAAATCTTTACGGGAGCAGAACGCCTCATCTTTCTCCTGTGAAACCGCTGGTAGTTTCGAACTGCTGACCTTGAGGTTAGCAGCCCAATTCATAACCACTACGCTATTGGAAGTTGTCAAAAATTAAATGGAACAAATAAAGATCGATATTCTAGTCATTAGTGAGCTGAAATGGACTTGTATTGGCCATTTTGGATCAGACAACCATATGGTTTACTAATCCGGGAATGACTAATTCAAGAGGAATGGAGTCACATTCTTTGTCAAAAAGAAAATCTCAAGATCTGTCTTGAACTAGAAACTGTCTATGATAGGATAATGTCCATACACCTAAAAGGAAGACCAGTTAATACCACTATTATTCAAAATTATGCACCAGCCACTAAAGCCAGTGAGGATTACATTGAAACATTCTACCAACTACTTAAGTCTGAAATTGATCAAACATGCAATCAAGAGTCATTGATAGTCACTGGTGATTGGAATGTGAAAGTTGGAAACAAAGATAGAAATGATGCTGGAGATCACATATGACAGAATTTTGCAAGATTAATGACTTCTTCATTGCAAATACCTTTTATAAACAACATAAAAGTCTTATTATTATACATATGGGCCTCATTAGATGGAATCCATTGGAATCAACTTGACTGCATCTGTGGGAAGAGAAGGTGGAAAAAGTCAGTATCATCAGCCAAAACAAAGCTAGGGGCAGATGGTGGAAAAGACCATCAATTGCTCATATGATAGTTCAGGCTGAAGCTGAAGAAAGTTAAAACAAGTCCACAAGAGCCAAAATATGACCTTGAATATGTTGTTGTTGTCAGGTGCCATTGAGTTGGAACCGACTCATAGCGACCCCATGCACAGCAGAACGAAACAATGTCCGATCCTGAGCCAACCTCACTACCGCTGCCATACTTGACGCCATCAATGATGCCACCTGGCTGATCCATCTCGTTGGGGGTCTTCCTCTTTTTCTCTGACCCTCCATCTTACCCTGCATGACATCCTTCTCCAGCAACTGTTCCCTCCTGACAATATGTCCAAAGTATGAGAGACGAAGCTTAGCCATCCTGGCCTCCAAGGAGCACTCTGGCTGCACTTCTTCCAAAGCAGATCTATTGGTTCTTTTGGCAGTCCATGGCACTTTTAGTATTCTCCTCCAACACCACAACTCAAAGGCATCAATTCTTCTATGATCTTCCTTATTCACTGTCCAGCTTTCATATCCATATGAGGCTATTGAAAATAACCATGGCTTGGGTCAGGCGTACCTTAGTCCTCAAGCTGACATCTCTGCTCTTCATCAACACTTTAAAAAGTTCCTGTGCAGCAGATTTGCAGACCTTGAATATATCCCAACTGAATTGAGAGACCACCTCAAGAACAGATTTGATGTCTTAGACACTAAAGACTGAAGACCAGAAGAGATGTGGGATGACATCAAGAACATCATACAGAAGAAAATTCAAGGTCATTAAAAAGACAGGAAAGAAAGAAAAGACCAAAATGGATGTCAGAAGAACCTCTGAAACTTACTCTTGAGGATAGAAACGCTAAAGCAAAGGGAAGAAATGAGGAATAAAAGAGCTGAGCAAAAAATTTCAAAGGACAGCTTGAGAAGACAAAGTCAAATATTATAATGAAATGTGCTAAAAACCAGGAGTTAGAAACCCAAAAGGGAAGAACGCACATCATTTCTTAAGCTGAAAGATTCCCGCCTCAACTTGATATATTGAGGGATTCTATGGGCAAAATATTGAATAATGCAGAAAGCAACAAAAGAAGATGGCAGGTATACACAGAGTCACTGTACCAAAAAGAAATGTTTGATGTTCAACCATTTCAAGAGGTAGCATATGATCAAGAGCCATTGATGATGAAGGGAGACGTCCAAGGTGCACTAAAAGCATTGGTGAAAAACAAAGTTCCAGGAATTGACAGGATCCAAATTTAAATCTTTCAACAAACTGAAAAGCGCTGGAGGCACGCACTCATCTATGCCAAGAAATATGGAAGATAAGGTACCTGGCCAACTGATTGGAAGAGATCCATAATTTGTGCTCATTCCCAAGAGAAGTGACCCAATGGAATGCAGAAATCATCGAAAAATATAATTAATAACCACATGCAAGTAAATTTTTGCTGAATTTATTAATTATCTTATTCAAAACAGTTGCAAAAGTACATTGACAGGGACCTACCAGAAATTCAATCCAGATTCAGAAGAGGATGTGGAACTAGGGATATCATTGTTGATGTCAAATGGATCTTGGCTGAAAGCAGAAAATACCAGAAAGATATTTACTTGTACTTTATTGACTATGCAAAGTTTTTGACTGTGTAAATCATGACAAACTATTGATAACTATGGATAACACTGCAAAAAATTGTTATTCTAGAACTCTTAATTGTGCTCATGAGGAAACTACATAGACCAAGAGGCAAGTGTTAGAGTAGAGCAAGAGCATGTGGAATGTTTGTTGTTGTTGTTGTTGTTGTTGTTGTTGTTGTTGTTGTTGTTTAGAATAAACACCTTTAATACTTGTGCTGGATGTGAGGGAGGAGGCTTTATTTGCCTTTCCGGGCCTTGATGTTCCTCAGATAGAACTCCAACTCCTTGCCCTCTAGAACATAGCCATCTGCTCGGCCACACTGGCCTGGTCTTGAAGTGATACATGCAAGAAGCTTGCCCTGCTCGAATTGCTCCTCCAAAAGACTGCTGATTTTTGCATTTTTTTTTTCGTTTTATCATATTTTTTCTGAATTTTATTTGACCGCTTTTTGTTTAATATCTCTTCCTCTTCAGGAGTCAGTTTGGCTCTCTTCCTGCAGCCCAGAGGTGGTGCATAGTGAGACTCATACCACTGAAGGTACGGTGTGCTGTCAATGAGCACAATGCGGTTCTTCACTAGGGTCTTGGTGTGGACCAGCTCATTATTGAATGCATTGTAGACAACATCAGTGATCCTTGTTTTCAACGTACAACGGTCAGAGCCCCAGGAGAAGTTCCCCACATCCAGACTCAGGCCCCAGTACTTCTTATTTACTCCTATAACACGTACTGTGTGTATGCAATGGGGACCGATCTTAGTGTTGGCAGCCAAGCATCCCAGCTCATACTCCCGCCTCTTGTGGTAGGGCTTTCTCTTGTCCCCAGTCTTGCGGCACCTGTGCCTGTTGTCCCGGGAGATGCCCATCGCTCAGCGCTGGCTGGAAAGACTGGAATGGTTTTAAATCATGAAAGGTGTGTGCCAGGATTGCATCCTTTCATCATACTTACTCAATCTGTATGTTAAACAGAAAATTCAAGAAGCTGGATTATATGAAGAAGAACATGGCATCAGGATTGGAGGAAGACTCATTAACAACCTGCAATATCAGATAGTAAACAGACCCATGTTTGCTGAATGTGAAGAGGACTTAATATACTTACTGATGAAGATCAAAGACCACAGCCTTTGGTATGGTTTGCACCCCAATGCAAAGAAAACAAAAATCCTTAGAACTGGACCAATAAATAACATCATGATAAATGGAGAAAAGACTAAAGTTGTCAAAGACTTCACTTTGCTTGAATCTATAATGAATACTCATGGAAACAGCAGTCAAGAAATCAAACAATGTATTGCATTAGGCAAATTTGTTGCAAAAGACCTCTTTACAGTGTTTAAGAGCAAAGATGTCAGCTCGAGGATCAAGGTGAGCCTGATTCAACCCATATTATTTTCAATAGCCTCATATGCATGTGAAAGTTGGACACTGTTAAGGAAGATCATAGAAGAATTGATGTATTTGAGTTATGGTGTTGGAGGAGACTATTAAAAGTGCCATGGACTGCCAAAAGAACAAACAAATCTGTGTTGGAAGAAGAAAAGCCAGAATGTTCTTTAGAAGCTAGGATGGCCTTGTTAAAAGAATTTGAGAGAGGGGCAGCCATCATCTGAGAGGGGTAGCCATTGTCCTGCAGAAGGTGAAGTTTTAGGACCCCTCAGCGCCAAGGTTTCTCAAGACAGTCATCATGCCTCGTGGTCAGGAGAGAAAGTTCCATGAGAACCAACAATGTGCCCAAAGTGAAGCCCAGGGCCTCCAGGGTACTGGGGCCTCTGTTGCAAAGGAGGAAGGGTCCCCCTCTTCCTCTCCTGTTTTGGGGAGTGCCCCCCAGAGCTTCCCTGTGGCTGGCATCTTGCTGGAGTCTAAGAAAGACCCAGCCAATACTGCTCCTAGTGCAACTATTTTTGCAAAAAAAATCGAGTGAAGGTGCAAAGGTCCAACAGAAGAAAAGTCCAAACCCAGCCCATGACACATCTTTCCATATGACCTCATAAAAGACCCTCTGTCCTCGAAGGTAAGCCTGTTGGTGCAGTTCATTGATAAGTATGAAAATAAAGTGCCCATTGTGAAGACAGACATGCTGAAGGGTTTCAACGACAAGCATATGGAGCAATCCCCTGGGATCCTGGAGAGAGCTGAGCAGCACACGGAGCTGGTATTTGGCCTCGAATTGAAGGAAGTTACTCCTACCACTTAGGCAGCAAGTTGGATCTTGCCAAAGGAAGAAGTCTAACTGGAAGCAGCAGCTTGCCCAAGACAGGTCAGGTGATGACCCTCTTGGGCATAATCTTTATGAATGGTAATCGAGCCAGTGAGGATTCCTGAGTGTGTTGGGCATTTCTACTGGAAAGATGCACTTGATTTTGGGGAGCTCAGGAAGTTTATAACCAAAGATTTGGTGATGGAGAGGTACTTGGTTTCCAGAAAGTGCCCAAGAATGATCTTCCATGCAATGAATTCCTATGGGGTCCACAAGCTTATTTTGAAACCACCAAGATAAAAGGCCTTGAAGTTTTGGCCAAGATCAACAATGCAGTTCCCTGGTCCTTCCCTGCTCTGTATAAAGAAGCTTTGAGAGGTGAGGAAGAGAGAGCCCAGGCCACGTTTGTTAGTGATGCAGCCAGTTTGTGTTCCAGGGGCAAGTCTACCAGGTTCTCTCACATCAAACGAAGTAAGTGCTGGTTCTCCACATGGTGGTTGAAATGGTTGTCATGCTTCTAAGTAGCAGGGGCCAAGGTGGAGCTGGAGGAAACAAAATGTTTATCTTCATTGTATTCCTGCTGTATACGAGTCATGTGTGTTTCTATCTCTCTATATACATATATATGTGTGCGTGTGTATATATATATAT